ATTGTTATTAGTATTACTAAGTAATATTTCGAGAATAATTTTGCGCTTTGTTTTGTTTCAGTTTCGTTTGTTTGTTTTTCTTGGTGCGCTTAAATGCAAACAAAACATGAATTTTTATTTACCATTTAGCCAGCACAGATCAGCAGATATATTTGTATACATAAAATAGCATACACATATAGCCGCACATATATTCATTTATGGGAATTAAATTGTAAAATAGAGACAGCATATGGTAAGTGCCAATAGAAGTTTGAGGTATCAGCAGGATTGATTGGCTAATTTATAAAAAGTATGCTTTTTCCAAAGAATTCATTATTTATCAGTGTGGTTTGTTATTCTTCACAATATAATATAATTATTCTTGGGGCGTGAAACGTTTTAATGGATTAATGAAATTAATTGGTTAATCTTTAAAAATAAAATTAATCAATTGATTTTGATACATTTCTTAGGAAATACACTAGATTACAAAATAAATTAATAAATATATTAAATACAATTACATATGTCTTTACTTTTAAATATAGGTATATAAGTTTTATACTCAAATTTCTTAAGGGAAAACAAATCAAAGTAAAGATATTCCAATATATGTATATTTAAGTTAACCAAATCGACTTGAAAACATAACATCCCCGAATAAAATCGTATTATTTAACGTAATTTTAATTAATTTTCATCATTTAAGAGGTGTTCAAAAGTCGCTTCAACAAACTCAGCATTCTCATAGATTTATTTTGCGTATCTTTGGCGCCAGTTATCTGACCACATAAACCAACAACAATAATAATAACAACAACGACAGCGGCAAGGCACCATTAAAAACATAATTTATCAACAATTTACATGCCAAGTCCAAGGCGTTTGTTAAGTGTTATTAAAAAATTACAAGCATCGACAACGAAAAGTACGGCAACCAGTACGTGTGTGATGGTATCATTTTGCAGCCTCATGAATATGCAGCAGGAATTCCGAGGCCTAGGAAATTGCAACTATAGTTTTTAGCAATCACAATGTAATACTAGTTTGAAGGATCCGCAGGTTGCGATTGCACGCAATTATCTAGTGGCATTGCACAACCCCAAGAAATCCACAATTGCGGATCACTCATCTCATGGCCCAGCAATTATCGATGGGCAATTTGTGTCCGAGTGCGAACAACAATCATATCGAACAACATCTCAGTCCAATTGGTAAACTTTTCATTACGAGAGCCACAAAAAATAAACAAAATTTGGTCTGAATGGAAAAAGTTGCCGAGAAGTTTCACTTATCTTCAATGGAACGGAAAACTTTTTGAAACAGAGCCAGTTTTGATGGCAGATTAACAATAATCATTTGCTACGTGTGCGCAGCATTAATTTTATCAGCACCTTATCATAAGCTTCTACTTTTCGAAATTCTTTACCCCCTAAAAATAGATTTTTAAAAAAGTAGTTGTTATGCTTTTAATTTGTTCATTTTTCGTAGCTCATAACATTTTATATGATTTGAATTAAGCCCAAGTTATGGTTTATATATTTCAGGAATATCTTATATACAAATCCATATTGTTGTTAAAATATTCCAAAATGTTTTAAAATTTGGTTTAAAGGAAAATACAAATATTGGTGTCAATTGTTTAAAACAAGTATTATTATTTTTTTGAACAGGGGTTATATATAAATTTAATAAATATAATCTGTTGTAATTTTTAAAGACACTGGTGTGGAATATTTTCAAACAGAAATAATGCTTGACAAAGATGCCCAAATTTGAAATATCTTATCTACGATCGCATTTGACGAGCAGTCGGATCATTTGGAGGCCCGCGGTTCTGGAGGGGCACAGAATTAAGATTTGGGATTTGAGAACCGAGATTCGAGATATCTGAAGCATTTGGCACGTGGGTGACCGGCAAATGCGGAAGCGTCACTTGACGATGGCCAAATATGCGCCTGTTTAAGTATCTGTATCTGTATCTGAATCTGGGTAGGAATCTGGATCTGTATTCGTAGCCGTATCTGTATCTCGCGGTGAGCATCTGCAGTGCCTCATAATCATTCAAGTGGGTGTCTTCAACATGAATGAAATGGAATTGGAAGTGGAATTGGAATTGGAAGAACAGCAGTGTGGCCACAAAAAATCTCGTTTAGTCACTTTGCGAAAAGCACAAAACAGAACAGCATACAAATGTATCTGCGGGCCAGTGGATGTATCTTCGTATCTGTATTTGAATCTCTATCTGTATCTGTAAATGTATCTGTATCTGTATGCCTGCAGAGCAATCGAATCAAGAGACAAACTGGGTAATTGGTTCATTATATAGTAGAAGCCAACGACATCCGCTCGTTAATGTAAATTACACAATAGTTTCGAATCATTTTTTTCGTCTGAGCTTAACTTTTCATTCCACTTTTCTCTAGCTCTCTGTTTGCAAGCAAATGTGTTTGTAGGGATGTGTTTGCGCAATCGATAAATATTACATTTTTAATATCGACACAAAAAAATAAAATCCTTAATATATCGCAAATTACTAATCATTTTAATTTAGTACTCCATATCTGGCACAATATCAAGCCTCTTTGGCTATAGCAGGCCCATCAAGGATATTGGTTTATCAACTTATCAAATTTAATAACATTGATTAAGAATTCTTAGACTTTTAAGACAGTGATTTTAAGTCATGTATAATTTAATTATGAGAAAAACCAGAAATACCAAAAGATAATATGTATGTATATATAAAATTAATAAAAATCTTTGGAATTATGGTAGCCAAAAACCAATAGATCAGAAGCAAGAATAAGTTAGCAAAGTCAGAAAAGGATATTATGAAAAATACTACAATAACCAAGTCTTACTAGAGTTCACACCTTTTAAAATATTTTGTAATTCACAATCACAGTGATCAATAGTATTCTTAAATTTCCAATAGAACACCAAAGAATTCCTCAACGATTTTCTGGTAGACATAAACAACAGCAGTGTCTCATGTATCTAGATAGTAATGCACCTAGAATCTCGTTGATAAATAAAAAGGTATAAACACAGAACGCTGATAGGTTCCAATTTTATTTGTTCAGTGATCTTAAATTTCCCTACGGTCTCATAATTTCCCCTTTATAATCCCGCCCGATGTAAACACACAGTCTGGAAACTTTCCATTGGTCCGAGGAATCGGAGATAACGGCAAAATTAATGCGCAGAGATCGCAGAAAATCAGAACAATAATAGAAAATTGTTTGGGATATAGGAACAGTGGATGGAGGCTCTACTGTAGACTAAATTTATTAAACAATTATTGGACATTTTTTTGTGTTGTCTGTGTTTTATTTGTTATTGTTCCACAAAAGAGACCTGCTGATCGCGAAAGAGAGCCGAAGAAAGAGGCGAGAAGAGAGAGAGGCGGTGATAAAGAGAGGAAGGGAGAGCGGGCTGATAAAGCAGCAGGAGCAACAACAATAGCAAACAAATACAATGCGAATTATCAGTGGACTGCGTGATATGATTATCAAAAGGTTTCCCATTGCTGTTGTTGTTGCAGCGGCTGCTGGCAACGGCATTTCTGAACATATATTCATATATATATATATAAATACATATCAAGAAATATATATATATATACCTCATACACGCACATTCCTATACATGTGAGTTTGGAACAGTTTATTCATCCAATCCATATATAATTAAGACGTTTCCAACGTGCTTTGATAGCGCCCAAAAAAAAAGACAACAAACAACAAATATTTAAACAAATATGCAAATACCTAAGAACGAAAGAAATCAGCTGAACTGAAAGAAATGAAAGCAACATTGATGTTGTTTTAAGAAATATTTTTGATCTAGTAAAACTAAGATATTACAGAAGTAGTACAAATATTTTCTTTTAGTCTAACCTAAAGAATTTAAAATTTTTAATAAATATATTTGTATATGTTTAGTTTTTAAAGTATTAACAAAAATATGCACAAGAACTTAATTTAAAAGTATACTCAAGAAAAGTTTAAAATTTAGAAATGCTTACAAAATGAATCTTGATTTTAGAAATTCAAAGAAATGGTTTCAGCTTAACTTTAATAAATTGTTAGGTTCTTACTAATCAAAGAATTTGTTGGATAACAAAGGTCAGCCTATCAGTTTTTAAGTATTCTGTTATCATTTCTTAACACTTTATCATTCTAACCTTATATTTTGTCCACTGAAATCGACATCTATTTTTCCCCCCGCAGCATCGTTACAATAATGGAATAATGGAGCACGTCTAATTCAACTCACGCACTAACGTAGATAACATTTTTTGAAGGGGAATTTTTATTTTTGTAGTTTCTTATACTCCTGATCTAAAATCTATATGATCAATTATTTAAAGTTGTACATTTTCAAGCTAATTGGCTTACTCAATATTAACCTTTATTGACTATGAAAACGTTTAATAGTTTTTTGTAACCTAACCTATGAAATAAGTTACTCTAGGGTTTTTAGTAGCCCTTAAAAAATCCATATTTTCCTATGGCTATATACATTCTTTTATCTTTATTTATAAACGATATCTTACGAAACTTAAAAGCTTAATGCTTATAGCGATATGGTTTGTACGATAAACTTTTCTGCTTCAATAGTAGGTTTGGTAAAAATATATTGAATAAGATACTTAAAGAGGGTAATTAACACCAAACAAAAAGTCACTAGCACTGGCTAAATAACATTTGATATAACAATGATAAGTTGAGGATAGAAACGATATCTTACGATAATTAAAATTTTGATTTAATGGAGATGTGGTATTTTCGATATAATTCTTTCCTTCGAAAGTTAAGCCAAGTTTTGGTAAGAATAGTACTCGAGGGGGTTATTAACCTCTGAAACCCCCGTTCGACTGCACCACTGGTCGCCTATATGTACATCCATATACACACACAAAAAACGAGCAACTCCCACAGTTCACTTTCATTGATAAACTCGGCTCTTCGCTCTTCTTCTTCACAATGCAAATCCAATTGTCTGCTACTTACTTTATTTTTTTCGTGGTGTGTGTGACATCAATCAGCATCGCTTTGTTGTTTTTGCTATTGTTGTTGCTGATGCTGTATTATTATTTTTTTTTTTGTTGCTCGACAATTGAAGCTAACCAACATTAAACTATAACTTCCTCACAAACACACTCGCACTGCACTCTCAACAAAAACAACAAAAAACAATTTCATATATGCATATTCATATTAAGTATATCATAAATTCAAATAAAATAAAAGCCAGGCGACCGCATTTAAATATTTGAAAAGGTTCGCCTTCGAAGACACAATTTAATATAAAGGACAATTTTTTGAAATAAATTCATACTAAATTTGATTAATAAGTTAAGTTTTTAAGAACAAGAAAAAAAAATCCCTAAGAATGCACAATTTTATAATTCGATTCACTTCTATCACCAGCACTTCATTATTCAATTAAATAATTAACGACCGGTAGCAGTTTCGTTTTTCTTCTTTTTTTGTCATCCCTGATATTAGCTTTAATTTTTGTATATTTTTTTGACTCCGGCGCGATATTCACGGTGCAAGCCACCGACACCAAATGAAAATGAAATAACCGTCAACGGATTTTTCCAACGCAGTCTGCGCACACACGATCTCTATCTGAACTGAAACACTGTTTTCGTTTCGCTTGCGCTCAACTCAACGAATCTTTCTCTCAACAGCAACTCGTGAGATACTTTTGAGTGAGTGCCCGCTGCGGAACGAGTGGAACCTCCGTTGAGCGGAAACGCTTTTCACTGTGTTCGTTCACTCCGTTGACGATCGGTTATTTTCAAACACTTTGTTGCTTGACGGTTACTTGCGAGCTCTGCTGCAAGAAAACATTAAAATATAACCTATAAAATGGTTAATTTAAATGATGATTACTTTGCAAATTTTGTAGTTCCATCTGAACTTAGAAATAACTAACATTACAATGGCTATCAAATTGAATAATACCTAGTTTTTGATATTTGGTTATTTTCAAACACTTTGTTGCAAGCTCTACTGCAAGCCATAGAAAATATTAAAATATAACATATAAAATTGGTTAATTAAAATGCAGATTTCTTTACAATTTTTGTAGTTCGAACTGAACTTAAAAAAAACTAACATTAAAATGGATATCAAATTTATTGATACCAACTTTTGGATATTTTCAAACACTTTGTTGCTTGACAGTTACTTGCGAGCTCTGCAGCAAGCCATAGAAAACATTAAAATATAACCTATAAAATGGTTGATTTAAATGCAGACTACTTTACAAATTGTTTAGTTCCAACTGAACTTAGAAATAACTAACATTAAAATAATTATTATTAAAATATCAAATTTAATAATACCAAGATTTGGATATTTGGGACACTACTTTTTTAAATCAGTTTTTTATTTTTATTTAATTTTAATATTAATAGACTACAAGCGGACAAAGTTTTCTTTGTCATCGAATAGGAGAATAGTTTTCATTATGTACGCATTGCAAAATCCAGTCGAGGAATTCAACTTGGAACAAAATTTGAGCCATGCCCAAATTTGGGTCACATTATTAGAACTCATTACAAATAATTTTTAATTTTTTTTTTCTCCCATGAATTCGTTAGTTTATCAATTGAAAATTTCACATTTGGCAACGCGATTAGGGGCAATCATGATTGCTGCTCTATGAAATAGATCTTCCAATATTGGGTTGGCTGACGATGCCCAGCGGGGCTAGACCCACCTCCACCTCCCTCACCCGATTCAACAGAAGTCGCATGGACCCCAGGCAAATCTCGTGGGCAGCCGCAATCTCCTCGATGGCACGCTTCTTGAGCTCCACATAGTCCATGCGGGATTGGGTGCGGGCCAAGATCTTCTTGTATGCCTCCCGCAGGTTGCGACCCATCTTGAAGAGCTCCCGCCAGTTGGCGTAGAGTTGCACCGCATATCTGTACCGCTGCAGGCACTTGCCAGCCTCCAGTTGCTTGGTCAGGTGAAAGGACAGGACACGCTCATGCTCCTGCCGCGACGTGACCAGGAGATCCTTTTGCCGGGAAAATAAACGATCCAGGGCCAATAGGCGGCCATTTCCCAGCTCCGAACAGCGGATTAGACCCTCCAACTGTCGGCGAATGCGAAGATTGTTCAATTGCAATTCTCGAACAGCCGGATCCTTGCTGCCATTCAGTATCATCCAGCGTGAGTCCTCCGGACCCAGACCCATCTGCGCCTCCCGCTCCCGGGTCGCTCTCGAGCCCCCGCCAAAGGGATCGATGGAGAAGCGGGCGTCCATCTCGTCCAGCTTTCGATTCATCGCATCCATCTCGTGTTTCATCACACTCCAAGGGATCTCCTCGATGACGGTTGGCTGCTCCTCCGCCTCCGCCTCCTCATCCCCTTCCGATTCCTCCTTCCCCAAGGAGCCCTCAACATCGGATTGACAATCGTGACGGATCAACTGATCTTTGTACACCCCCACATTTTTCTTCATGTTTGGGCTTTTAAAATAAAATTTTAAACGTTTCTTGAGAGTATTTCTTGGGTCAGTTAAGTGTTCCTAATGTAAAGTCTGTTGAATAAATGGTACGGATTTTTCAACGCCTACTGCTGAAATGAAATTTTTTATCGGCAAAACTTTTGGGGGAAAGGCAGGGATAACTGGAATGGAAAAAAGGTCAGGCTGGTTTAAACCATTTTAAACAGAATTTTGTATAAGTCACTTGGAGCACCGCCGTCCATAATATAAATAATATTAATAATAACATTCAAATTCTTAGTTTTTGATATGTATGACTATGACTGGAAATTCGCAATTGGACAAAATTAATGAGACAAAAGGCGGTGCCCACAACCTGCGCAATTTCCGCTTTATATCAATGACCAACAATACACAGCAAAAAATACACATCATACACTTTCAACACGCAACATGTGACTTGCAACATGCAACATACAACAAGCAACATTCAACAAAATGCGACATACAACATGCAACATAAAACATGCAACATGCAACATGTAATATGTAACATGCAACATACAACATGCAACATTCAACACGCAAAATGCGACATACAACATGCAACATGCAACATGCAACATGCAACATGTAACATGCAACATGCTGCATTCAACACGCAAAATGTGACGTGCAACATGCAACATACAACATACAACATGTAACAGTCAACAATCAACCATTACCAATCAACAATCATCAATTAACAGTCAACATTCAAAAATAATACGTGTCCAATGTTAGATAACATTAATGTAATCTTAATGTAATGTTAATATAATGTAAAATTGTCCCCGTCATCGTCATTGTCAATTTTTGATCTCCCATTGAAATTATAATTCCCAACCAGTTCTAGTCAAAAAATTACGACCTAGGGGTTGTGGCTGCCCAAAAATCAGTGTACTCGGATGACCGACAGTGTGAGTGTGTGTTTCTTGAGGAAATCCAGATGATTAATGGTTAATACAACTGACATGGAATGTTCTCCAGGATCTAGGATCAAGGACCTCTTGAGGTATGTGTGTGTGCTTGTGTGATTGAGGTGTGGTTCAAGGAGACTCACAGCGGTACCAGCTTACTTTGACCGGATGCAGTGCATCAAGGATTTTACTGGGTATGTACGATTATCATAATAAATAAAATTAATAATTTAAAATTTAAATAATGAGAGCACAACTAAATATTTTAAAATAAGGGACTGAAACATATGTAAGACAAAGCTGCAAAGATGCAATATGGATCAGAAAAGAACAATAAAGCCACTAAGTTTTCCTGCATTGAAATTCCAACGAGGTACTTATGTAGTAATTTTACGAATTAACTTCAAAAACCAACTTTTCAATTTTGATTCCAGATTTTACTCAAACCATTTTTCAAAAGAAATTACGAAAACTCAAACCAAACATACAAATCAAGATTACAAAAATTATCCACGGTCATTTGGAAACATTCCACTTTAAAATATGTAAGAAAAGCTGTGGGCTTATAAGTGCAGTGTTTTAACACTTTTTTGCAAAGCCATTTTTCGAAAATTAAAAATGACAAAAAATCGTGCCAAAAATACAAACCAAGATGAAAATGCCGATTTTAAGAAAATTAATTCACGATTATTTAGAAGTTTCCAAGCTTAAAATGGGATGTCTGAAATAAAAGTTATAGGTTTAAAACTGCAGGTTTTTGGTCACTTTTCTGCAAGACCATTTTATCCGAAAATAAGCCCCCTTGTTTATAATACTATATAATAAACTCGATTATTTTTATATATACTATCAAAATTATATTGTTATATTTTAGAGCTCTGCCCATTTAGCTACATGTTAGTTTTGTATTTCCATAGGAGTCCGCTAGTTATTTCAAGGAAACTTTTCAGACAAAGACTCCCGATACAAGGTTTTCCAAGTTAGTTGTTACATTGACATCTGTAATTATTTGCAAATTGCATTACAAATTAAGCTCACTTCAATGTTACTACTTCTAAAAAAAAAAATTAAAAGGGATCCTCGCTAGTCCTTGAATTTGCCCAGCACGATGTCCTTGTAGAAGGGAACGCAATTCATGCGTACATTTAGTCTTGCGCACAACAGGAAAATGCCCGAGAGCTTGCGGTGGATGGAGTAGATCTCCTCGGGCGGTGGACACAGTCGATGTGCCACCATTGTGGGCACCAGGGCGGCCAGTCTCTCGGTGGTGTTCTGCCTGCCGAAATCGAACTCCCCGTCGTAGCGGAAGATCTCGCCCAGGATCATCACCGCATCCACGTGGGCCTGCTCCATCTGCTTGGTTTCGTAGCCGGTGAGGAAGCCCATTTGGCGGGACATTTCCAGAACGCCCTGCCTGTTGTCCTCGGCCGCACTCATGATCACCTGGCGATAGTTGCGGATGAACTCGTGCCGGTAGAAGCGCGTCGATCCGAAATCAATCAGCATTAGGCGGCGACTGGGGGCGTCGTACAGGAAGTTGGACCAATTCGGATCCGTCTGCATGCACTCGATCTCGAACAGCTCCCGCAGACAGAGCTTCAGCACGGAGGCGGCGATGTGGGCACGATGCTCGTAGCTGGAAAATAGATTAGGTTAGGGACAGAACCTAAAAGCGAGATGCCCTCACCTTAGATCAAAGCACTTGTCGAGCGGCACGCCGGGCACCAGTTCGGTGGTCAAGACACTGGAGGTGGTCAAATCGCGCACCACACGCGGCACATAGTACTCCGGATAGGGCGAGATCATCTGGCGAAACTTCTCCGTGTACTCCGCCTCGCGATCATAGTCCACCTCCCACTGCAGCTCCCGCTTGGCCACGCGCACCACATTGTCGATGAAGAAGCCCTGCGGGAAGACGTCCCAGACCTTGAGCATGCCCACCAGGTTGTCAATATCGCTCCCAATGCTCTGGGCCACGCCGGGATATTGGATTTTGATGGCCACATCCATGCCATCGCTCAGGGTGGCCCGGTGCACCTGGCCAATGGAGGCGGCCGCGAATGGCTTCTCCTCGAATTTGCTCAGCCGCTGGCGCCAATCGGCACCCAGTTGGGTGTTCATCACACGTTCCACCTGCCAATCGGGCATATAGTCCGCCGCCTGGCGCACTCTCTCAAAGGCCTTGGCCAGCTGCGGCGACACCACGCTGGAGTCTTGGATGCTTAGGATCTGTCCGATCTTCAGAGCAGCCCCCCTCACCTTGCACAGCGTATCCACGATCCGTTCGGCATTGGCGGGGCTCAGCAGGGCCTCCCTCATGGTGGTGGAGCCGCCCAGGCCCAGGGCTCCCTTGGTCAGCTCATTGAGGGTTCCGATGCCCAGACCGGCGAACAGGCCGCCAAAGGAGGCCATTCTGCCTATCCGTGAGGAGGGAACCTTCCGCTGTTTGGCCACCTTACTCAGTTCCGGCACATCTATGGCCTGTTGATTTTCGCCCTTCTTGACCTGCGTGTCTGGTTCTTCCTGCGGCTTGGCCCCCGCCACAAAGCGCAGGACATTATTGACATATTCCGTGTCCTGGGTAATGATTCCCGGATCAGATTGTCCATGCTTGCCCTTGGCATCTTGGGGCATTGTTTGGCTGCTCTTGGTGGCCGGGATGCGAAGACTAACACTGCGATCCTTGTTTCTCCGCGACAGTATCTCCTCGAACTCCTTGAGGGTTATGGAGGATATATCCAGATTGGCGGCGTCCCAATTGGCGAGATTTTGGGCTGTGGACGTTGGCTTCTTGGCGGCAGTGGCTGGAGATGGTTCGGCTGGGGTGCTTGCCTCCTCACGGGACATCTGGATTTTCGTCTCCAGCAGCGTGCAGAGTCCTTTGGCCACCACGTATCCCCTTTCCCCAGTTTCCTGAAGTGCCAGCTGCAGTCTTTTCAGCTCTTCCGTTGGATTTTTGCCCGAATTCTTCACCAGCTGCGCTGTGTGTTCGGCATTCTCGGCGATTAGCTCACGAATGCTTGAATTGCTCCAGAGATGACGACCGTGGGCGAGATGTTCGCGCCCACACGCCTCCACCACAATCCGCAGTCCGCGCAGCAGCGCCACCATTTCTTGAGCGGATCGCGACATGGCCAGCGGGGAAATACTGGTTTGTGGCTCTCGCTAAGGTGATTCAGCAATGATCCTCACCGCCGTCCGTCTAGCCTCCAAGGTTACGTAAATCGAGTAAAAATCTCAAAAAGTTCGAAGAAGCCCGCAATGTTGTCAAAATGCGGCGAAAATCAGCTGCGAAATCAGCTGAGCGCCCAGCAGCGTTGCCACACTAGCTTCTTAATCGCATTTCTAGCTATTTTAAGCTTAAAACCTGTTATTCTGAGTATTTTAACAGTGGCAGTGCTGACACATCAGCGATTTGTCGGCAATTCTGACTATTTTCACAATAGCAGTGCTGACACACGATAATTTTCATCACCATTCTGGATTTTTTAACTGTGGCACTACGATTTTATTTTATTTTTGTGGTTTACTGTGGCACTCGTAAATTACGTATTTAAAAAAGTTTGCTTTCTTAAATTTGTTTTTAATCATATAATCAATTTTCGGTCTCTTCAACATTTTTTTTGATTTCTTAACTTTTTTACATTAATGAAATTTTTTTTATGAAATCATATATTTGTAAAAAAATAATAGTTTCGTAGGAACTATTTTTACCCTCTTTATTTCGCTTATTTTTTCATTTCGATTCCAACAATAACACCAAACCAAACCATCAGTAATATACTTTTGGTAAGCGTTTTATAACCCGGTGAAAAAAATGTTTGACTTTTATTACAAGTAATTCCGAATATTCATTCACAAACACAGTGAACCCTGCTTAAGTGGCTCGATGACAGAGCCCACATTTATTTAGCAGCCTAGCTTAGATCGTAAAAAACATTAGATTAAGTTTGTATACCGAAATCCAAATCACAAGCAAATATACCTATATATAATGTGTGACTAATTAAAGTTTAAGCTATTTAATTGCACTACAGCCACGCAACAGGCACTGCGATTTTTTTTGGGATCCAAGGCCCATTGGCCCTACTTTCTGGGCAGGCGACCAGCACGTTCCAGGGCGGGATCCTCCAGCTCCCAGGCGGGTCTATATCGACTCGGACCGCAGGAGCAGGCGGGAACGGAATCACAGTCGCACTGGGAATCGGGGTTTCTGAGGTGCGGATTGGGAATTGTATTTGAACGATTACCGACTGAGGTATATCCCCGATCGTACAGACTGCAGTAAGGCACCGAGTTCATGTGGATGTAGTGCCAAACGTCGTGGTAGCTCCATTCCAGCAAAGGGTTCAGGCGCATCATCGGCGGCCAGTCGTTGTCCGTAGGCTAAAAATAAGAAGAAAATATGTAAGTTATGTATATATGTTTCAATATTCTTTATAAAAATTGTAAATTGTTTACAAGAGGTTTCTAGCAGGGATTATTTTCTATAAAAATAATTGCACAATTGGTTTTTCAAATGTCAATTCCAATTATAAGAATTTAATTTAAGCATTGAATTTCGAATACGTCTTTTATCGTAAAATGAAACTTAAATTGTTTGCTTTGCTTTTAATCGATGGGTATACAAATAAATTATTTATATTTATGGTGTCTTCTGGATTTCTTTATGCATGTTTTTTCCAAAAACAAAGGAACCTATGAAAACTAATTTGCTAACACAGTTCCTGTAAGTCGTCATTCACTAACATTAAGTTCTCGTGCTAAAATCGGTCGTAAAAATTTGTGACAAAATAAATGAAAACAAAATTAAACTAACAAATAGTACTCAAGTCAAACTCAAGCTAAGCCTCAATAAACAGTATTTCTTTTAACAATTAATTAATGCAATTAACATTTTTGAAAGTTCCCTCTTCTTTTGCTAATTTGAGTTTAGTTCATACATGTTCTAGTTACTTTAAAATATATTTAATATTTGATTAATCTCATTGTTTTGTTTTTTTTTTCATAGCAGCAAAGTACCAATTACAAAATCAAATCCATAATAATTTACGAGACTCAGAATGCCGCCATAATGCGCTTTTTATCTTTGGTTGCTAAATACCCACAAAAGATATCATTGACCTTGTAAGACTCGCAAATATCAATTAATAGATACTGAAAAGGTGAAAGATTAATCTTTGAAGGGCATACATTACTTAAATTTGATTACAAAAAATGATATTCACGTTTTTAATAGTTACTTAGGGCAATTTTACGTGCCAGATAGGAAATAAATCAACGAATATCGATTAAAGCTACGCCCTTATCTGTGCTACATAAACATGACATTTAGAATTTCATATCAGAGTAATATTTGCAATGAAAAGGAACTGAATAATCGTATCTGAACTGATTAATCTAAAACTAACAAATAGACCACCTAAATTATCTAAATATTTAGACATGTCATCTAGTGAATACTCCAGATTTATAATTATTTGATTGTGCCACAACACTGGCTTGTTTCCATAAGAAATGTGACTTTTGTTTGGCTTCACCTGCATGGGCGCCAAGTGCTGGCAGTAGGGATCCGTGTTCCGGCTGCCCACGAAGACGGCTTTGATGCGCGGCATGTCCGCCGCCATGTGGGTAAGTGCCTCCTTGAGAGATCCCTCGTATTCCACCAGCTCAACGCGATAATTGCGAACGCAGCGCTCCACAAAATCGTCGATTTCCGTGAAGGAATCGCCGGATTTGATGTACAACATGGGAATGTCACCGCTGGAGATGTTCTCCTGGCGGAGGTAACGCATAAGGAGATCCAGGAGGACGGTGCAGTCCTTGCCGCCGTTGAAGCAGAAGATTAGCTCCTCCACGCCGTAGATTTGCAGGGTTTCTGTGAAGAAGGCGAAGGCCTTCCGTTGTCTTTCTTCGATTGCCAGGCGTTCCTCCTGGGATATTTCCCGGGAAACTGGCGAATCTTGAGTCTGAAAACTCACCGGATCCTGAGGATCCTCTGGACGCTCCGACATGCTTCTTTTTTGCAAAAACAAATGCTTTTTGGTCTCTGTTGCTGTGGATACTATCGTGGTTGTTTTTGTGGTTTGGCGACATTGGTTCATGGTGCTCTGAATGCGGGGCGAAAGCAGGGGGCGTGGCCGAGCCCTGGCCAAGAAGATAGATGACGTCACAAGCTGTCGACGATGAGAAAACCGCAATTAAAACTGTGGAAAAAGCCAATAAATAAACCAAAACTTTCTCCGAAAATTCGTACGTATGTGTGCACTTGGTGGGCTGTTTTATATAACTTTGTGTATCAGAAATATAACTTAAGCTTTGTTATTAACGTGGTAAATGCTTTAGCGGTCGACGTTCAACTGATTTAGCTTATCAGCCAGCCAAAATTACATCACATTTGAATCGAAAAGTAAGCAAAATAAAACCAAAACCTCAGGCACACAAACACACGTACAAAAGCCGAACACATGGAGCTCACACAAACACACACACACACACTCACCCAACAGCGCATATATTCTCAGTTGCGTTGACAATTACTGGCACATTTAACTATTTTTCCGCAGCGACGATAATGCAATTATTTTATTCAGTTAATTGTTATTCCATGCCAGTGGATTTCTTTCTTTTTTTCGCCTTTTAGCATCGAAGCAAGCTGAACAACAACAACAGCGAACGCAAAAACAAATTCTCGAAGCTTCGCGGACTATCGGAAAATCAGCTGCTTGGAACTATCGATAGCACTAATGATAAGTGGCTATCAATTTGAAAAAATAGCTAAATTTCTCAAACTTACTAATCTTACGAATATATTTAATAAAAATATAAATAAATTTAAAAAAAATAATTACACACTACACTCGGAAATAACAAATAAAATAGCAAATGTAACAAGAAATAATCAGAACCTATTTGGTCGAAAAATGGTTTTTTTTTGTAACTTTAATTCCACCGATACACCAACTTTAATTCCTTTTTCAAAAATATAAGTTCGAAATGTGTAAAATTTTTTAAGTTTTTATTTTACAAATAACAAATATATGTTTGTGTGTGTTTAACAACAACAAAAAGCACAATAAAAATACGCTCTACACATATAATAAATGGGCACTGTTGGCGTTACTCTGGGTGTTTTTTTATAATTTCGTCCTTGTTTTTGTGGTTTCTACACAGAGAGAAAATATCACAAGATTTGGGTGTTTATACTTGCTAATAACATGTAGTTTTCAACATTAAATTTATGTTATTAATTTATGTGACCTTTCACAAATTTCTATTTTGGTTCAGGCAAGTGCATTAAATATAAATTTTATGTAAATTCATTAATCTTAGGCATAAATAATTAAAAACTAAGATAAGCTAGAAGGTACAAAATCTATTGGTCAGCGGCTTAAAAAAATACCAAAACTTAACCAATTTTAATCAAATTTAAAAGAGTAAAATCAGATGGTTACATTTTAAAAACAATGTGATATTAAATATTATTTTTTAATCAAAAAAAATGGATACAAAAATTATATGAATATTTCTGATTTTCAAACATAATTGTATGTTTGTCAGAATTTAATGTTTTTGTAAATAATATTTTAACAATTAAAAAGATTCCTGAAACTGATTTTGATTTTCTTCAGATATAATTTTTGGTTTTTTATCAGCTGACTGTTAGTGTTTTTATACAAAAGGTTGCTTATTTAAGTGAGCGTTCTAGCAGATTTGATTTGAGTCTAAATTATTTTTAAGAAACCGTTTTAAATTATGTTTTTCTTTATGTTTATTCCTTTCCCAATTGTTATGACTTTTTTCCCTGTGTAGATTATTTCCCAGATTAGACATCTATGTTATCCAGGACATTGTCGATGAGACCCACAACCTTTTGGCGAAACCTTCGATTTTGCTTGCCGCTCATTTCCTTGAGGTACGGATGCAGGCTGATCAGAAAGGAGTAGTCGGCATCTGGTGGCGAAGGCATGGACAGGGGAATGGCCCCCGATCCGGGTCCCAATCCTCCGGTTAAAGCTCTCAAAGCTGGCGTGGCCGGCGGTGGCGGTGGTGTGGTTAACTTGTGATGATCCAGATGGTGACTGCTGTTGCCCTTGAACCAATGCGTCAGATCCGTCCAGTCCAGGTGGTTACCCAATGCAGCGGCGGGCACTGACACCAGCGATTGGTGACCCACCAGCCTGTCGAGCTGTTGATTTGGATTTGGATGTGGATTCAGGGAGGGCTGCTCCACTTTGATGGCTTGAAGGCGGAGCGGCAAACAGGCGGTGGGTTGATCCTGATTCTGATGCTGATCCTGATCCGGATCCCTTCCTGAATGGTCCGGCTGATTCACCTCCTCCTCGGAAACCTGCACATCCAGCGGCATTTCGCTGTCGCTCTCCTTGGCCTCCTCATCATCCTCCTGCTGACTTGACTCTGGGTATATGGGTATACTAGAGGTTTTCCCCGGTTTTCGGAGCACCATTCCTGCCGCAGGATTATTACTGGGTGCAATCACCGCAGGCAGCTGCTTGTGGCAGGATCGGGACTTGGTGTAGGGGATGAGGAACTGCAGGTACTTGGACAGGTAGTATTTGCGCTTCCCGCGGCCCGTTTGTGTGCGTGCCAGCTTTAAGGATCGGAGGAAGCTGCTCCTTATAGTGCGCCACCTCTCGCGGCAGTTGCGCACTGAAAAAGTCAAGCGTGAAAATCTGTTGCATTTAATTTTATTTTTAGATCCAAAAATAATCTTAATTGATCCGAATTTAAGCCCTTCTGAAAGAACCATGAAATTATTCAAATCGGAATTCTTAGTATATCTAAAAAGTGGTATTGTCATTATTAAAAATTCACTAAGTTATTGATAAATTATTGATGTTCTCCAAAAAAGGTTATTTTTTATTGATGTTACTAAAGGATTTTTATTTTTTATTTATAACTTAAAGAATTATATTTTTTGGAATGAATCTATATATGTACTATATATGTATGTATATACTTTACTGTTTAAACTAAGCTGACGGAAATGTTTTCAAGATTTAATATAATAAGAATAATATTTCTATTAAAATAAACAAGCATCGGATTCTGATATTTTAAAATCGTCTATTTAAAGAAATATAAATTCTTCAATACAATTAGTAGTTTTTTCATGAACGTGTTTATAAACTGTAGTTAAGATTGTTATATTTGAAAAGAAAATTTTCGATCGACGTAAAAATATATGAAGATCAAAATATTATCTTATTTTTGTTTCTTTGAGTGTATTTTCACTAACTGCAGCAATTGCCTCGCAAAAGCAACAGTAACCAAAAGCAATCGCAAAAGCAGCAACAAATTGCAAGCGAAAACTGCGCGACACAGTGACACACCTACACAAGTGTAGACGAAACAGTGAAAAACAAAAACAATTGCATGGGGATCACACGCATACCAGCACACAAAAGCTTGCATCATAGACAAACACATACACGTATTGCGAATTGAGCACGCAATTGGCGGCGAAGAAGAAGAACTAGGCGGAAAAGCGATGTTTTTGCCCCGATTTTGTTTGCCTTTGTTGTTATTTTATATAGATTTACCCGTGTCCTTGATCTCATTGGCCACCTGCTGCCACGCCCTCTGCACCTCTTCCTTTTTGCTGTATCCCGGATGCGTATAATTCCACAAACAGGGCTGATTTTCGACGAATTGCACGAACCGCACGTTGAAAACGGGATCGTCCTTGCGTGCCATTGTGACCCAGCACATGCCTCCGTCCCGCTCACACGCACGTCGTTTGCCTTTTATTGCTATTTCTTTCTCTCTCTCCCGCTAACGGTAAATCACACGCACGCACACACACGTCCAGGGGCGCAGCCAAAAGGGGCGGCAAAACAGTGGGGCGTTGGAAAAATGGGGGGGCCCTCGCAGCAACTACAGCAACAACTGCTCGCAGCGGCCGCGCAACCAAAACTGAGCGTTAAAATCCCACTGCGCGCAAATTGCAAATTGCAAATAGCAAATAGCAACAAAAGCTGCAGCGCAAACACTTTATGCTGTCACAAACAGCAGCAACAACAAGTGGCATTAGTTTGTTGGAAGGAGGGGGTTCTAACGACCAACAAATACTCTACACAGAAAAAAATTAGAAGCTTTATGAACAAAAATATTGCTATACAATCAAGTGCAAGTAATCAAGTGTAAAATTCTCGCTGCTGATAAGGCTGTGAGATATTCCTTTTATAAGATTTTCTACAATATTGGGTGTTGTAGCTATGGGATCCGATTCTTCTGAACAATTTTACATTTTATATCAAGCTAATGTGTAGACCCTAGAGTGTGAGTTAAAATGCCATAGCTGATGAATTTATATTTTTATATAGTTTTGTATATATAATCTACATATTTTAATACTAAATTCAAATATCAACGGGTAATATGTAACGTCGCCTTTTAAATAAACATATTTATCTTTCGGTGTATTTTTAAAGTTTTCTTAATTAAAAGGTTTTAAAAGAGTACCAGTGTTTTTATATAATTAATAACTTTCTTAGATAAGTTTTTTAAGTCAATTTAAATTTTTTAATTGACCTTATCTAGAAAGATTTGGATTCAATTCCTAGCGGAAATCCCGGTAGTTTCTTAATTTTCGTTATTCTTTTGTGGAAATAAGGATCCAATGAAATGATAAATGGTCAAAAATGTGTTCCGATACAAAATTTTCGACTTTTTCGATATACCCCGATGACTTTGCGATTACCGCATATCGAAAAAATCAACGACTAACAACAGCTGCAGCAGTGCAATAAAAATTGTATAAGCAATGCAGCACTTGCCACGTTTGTATGTGTGCGTATGCGGGTGTTTGTGTGTGTGAAATAAAAAGCTTTGTCGATGACGTCACAGGCTGCATTTGTTGCATGCGATGCAAAAGTAACGAAAGCAAAACCAATCAAAGACAACAAGTGTTGCAAACACAAATTGCGCTAAAAAATTGTTAAATTGCTGAATTTATAGATAACTTAATATAATTTATTTATGTCAGTTTAAAATTTATTTCTGATGTATCCAAACCAATTATAACCTATACCAATAGGTAGAAATAATGGAGAGCTTAGTAAATTGTATTTGTTCAGATATATTATTGATCTTTAAGTTAGATATAAATTCAGCCAATTGGCAAAATATTTACGAAACATCTATCTTTTGTTGGAAAACTAAAATATAAATGCATCTTTCTTCAAATTCTATAATAATGAGTATTTTAACATTTAGATATGCAAGTTTGAAATAAGAATGTTGTCTCCACATGGATTGTTTTTAAGCCTTTTTGTATCGCTTTAATATATTACCGATTTAATATTTACTTTAAATCTATAAATATTTTTTTGCTTGAAGCGAGGCCCCTGTCAAAATAAATCGATAATTCCCGCCCAGATCACAAGTGAAACAAATATCGATGATTTTGTCGCAGTTTCCAACACTGCAGTTAGTCGCATATGTAACCGAATTGGAAATAATTGTAATTTGTAGGAATATCGCTTAATAAATCTACCGAAAAACATGGCAACCAGCGGGAAGTTGATGCTCAACAGCGGCCTGTACCAAAAGCTGAGTCAGGTGAGCAGTTATTCTCCACTGTTCAGTGAAAAAACGCCTACAATTGTTCAGTTTTATGCGCAGCTCACCAGGCAGCTGCACATGCAACCGGCACTTTTGTCCAGTTTCCGCTCATCCCGCGAAGTTCAGGATCTGGATAAGTATCCCAACGTCGAGGTGGTGGCCAATCCGCCCGAGTGGCGTTTTGTGGAGCGTTTGCTGCCGGCGGAAACAGTGCCACAGCCGGTGGAAAAGCAGAAATATCCCTCTGGCTGGCGGCCGCAGAAGGAAAATGGCTCGGAAATTGGATATTTTGTGGCCAGAACCAAGAATCACATGGTGCCGGTGTATCTGCACACCAGGTTTCGTGGCCAGCGCAGGATCACGGTAGTGCGTCGCGTCCAAGGAGACATCTGGTCGCTGGAAAAGGATCTGCGGGCGGTCGTCGAGCAGTCGCGGAATGGCAAACTCTGCGCCACAAGGATCAACGAACTGAGCGGACAGATCCATTTCCATGGCGACCATGTGGACGTCCTGCGGGATTACCTCAAGGAGAAGGGTTTCTGAAGACCCCCCAATGTCCTTCCTTTCCGCAATAAACTATGTTCTGTTGATTTAAACTACCTTCCTGATTAGTTTTTACTTCAGTTAAGATTGTGTGATCATATTGTTAATTTCTCGTGGTTCTTAGGACCTTCTTCATCACTTTCACATCTGGACTTCCGGAGACCATAACTTTACCAAATTTTATCCGATTTGAAAGTGGCATACCTCCTAAGACTTGTGGGTTAATTCTCAAAAAATTTGCATTACAATTTTTCATTTTAACGTTGATCCTATTTTTGACCCATTTTCATGTCATTTATTTCCAAATTTCCGATGTTGTTAAAGGGTGACCCACAGCTGGACTTCCGGGGTCCATAATTACACACTACTACTACTAAACAGCAGTTAGAATATGGTTTGGATATCTTGTTTCTGTTTTTTAAGTATAACGATTAACTAGTAAAATATGTAATCCTCACAATTTAATTGATTGGTTAAATTTATTTTCGTTTAAGTTATGGATGGATATCATTTTATGGGTATACTATAGAATTGTACCAAGAAATTCAATTTTAAGCGACATTATTTCTGCTTTATCCAAATCTGATATCTATATCGCATAACTACTCATGGTAGATCTTTGAGTTTACCAATTCGTATGCATACACATTTCAAAAGCACATCACTTAAGCAAATGGTTTGCAAATTGATTTCTGTTGACCGCACACCCACTTGGCTGCAGTTCGCTTTTATTTAGCACTTAACGTTTAGCATAAATTACATCGTCTGGATGGGGAATTTTTATTCTGAGAGTGGTGCGCAAGGCTCTACGACTAAAATCTAGAGGAAGGAGTAGGAGGAGGGGCGAACTTAGCACGTATAATAAGTCTGTTTCGGGCTCTGGGGAGCTCTGCTCTACGTCTACGACTGCTGCTTCCTCGGCCGCGGCCGTCAGGTACGCGTCAGGCGGGCGTAGGCAGCTGCCACGCCCCACCGCTATCCACTGGCCCCGGCCATCGCCGGCAGTCCGGCCAGACTGACGCCCACACCGGACGTGGGCGTGACTGTTCCGGCGGTGGCCGACGAGGAGGATCGCTTGAGGGCCTTGCGGATGATCGTCCAGTCCTCCATGATGTCTTCCTCGCGCAGCATATACACCACATACGGCCCGGTGACTGTGACGGCCTTCTTCCGACCCGGTCCGCGCACCTTGCTCTGCCGCTTGTCGGTGCCCCAGTCGGCCCATGAGATGTCCACGTTGTGGCGATCTTCCTCCAGGCGGCGGATGCGCTCCACTAGCTCCTCGCGCAGGTTGTCCACCGCCATGTGCTTTTCGCTCTGCAAAGGGAAGGATATTATTAAAGTGTTTTCGCAGGAAATATGAAGTTCATGTATATTTCACTTAAATACATAATAAACCTGATTTTAATCATTAAGCGCTGATAAACTTCAGTAAACAATAAAATATAATCAATCAAAATAACAAACTATTCTATAAGAAAGTTTCTATACTTCGGCATTGTGCTGTATAAATAATCCTATATAAATTCGACAGTTTATCAACGTGAGTTTGTCTGATTATGATACTTCAATCATTAAAGTTTAATTTGGCATATTTTCATTAATCTCTTGATGGTATTAGTAATAGTTATTTAACAACTAAATGCCCTCTAAGTGTGTAATGTTTGAGAATATTAACCCCTTGAGTTACACCAAGTCCCCTATCGGAGGTAAAAGCTAATCTGATTGTGATAATGTAATCGCCAATATTCCCTTGCCATTTTTGGCGCCAAAATAGGCAGTGTGTACCTCAAAGTGCTGGACTGCAGCTTGTTCCTCGGATTGGAACTTGTGCTCGATGTTCTGCAGGCGGTACTTGCGCAGGACATCCGCCACCTCGATCCTGGTGCGATAGACCTTGTCCAGTTCCTTTTGCGGCTGCACGAACTCCTCCGAACGGCCAGAACGCACCTCGGCCAGCTGACGTTCAATGAGATTGATGCGCTCAAAGTAGTACTGCTCTCTCAGGGCGTTAAATTGCCGCTCGAGGCTCACTGAAAATGAGATTGCACATGAGAAACGACTGGAAAACAGGATAAATCAGGGCAACACCTACTCAAGTCCTCGGTATGTTCCGCCCGCCGTCGTTCGATTTCGCTGGCATCTAGTTCCGAGGAGTCATCGGAATCGCATTCGTTGGCTTCCTCCTCGTCGGAGGTGTCATGTGCTTGGCTGGAGTTCGAGTGCTCCGACTCTCCGCCAGAAACGTCGCCTTCGCCATCGGATTCTCCATTCTTCACGGGCATTTCGACTGGGCTATCGCGTTCCTCCTCACTGCGCGCCTTTCTTACGGCGATTCCAATCTGCGACGGTCTGCAGGTGGCCTCCGGGCCTAGCACAAATGATTTGTTTATTTTGTTATTCTAAAAAGTAAGGAGAGTATGGCAAACTTCGTGGAAAACTACGTTTTCTTGCGAGCTGTAGCAAAAAAAGTGTGGGGCAGCGCTGCGTGGGCAATCCAGTGTTAGAAATCGTACGCGGAACGGAGCATCTTGTCATCGTTTAATGGCTAGAAAAAAGCTAAACTTGGGTTTACTACAATGGAAAGTCAAAAATTATTTTTAAGACTTTTGGGTGTTAAATTGAATTGTTACAATTCTCATTAATTTTTACCAGACGATTTTTTATAATGACCTGAAAAATTATTATTCTCCAACGTTCTTTATTTTGTTTCCTGCCCTATTATTTTCAAAAGAGAAAGTCTTTGTTATTTTTAGTTTTTTAATAAGATTATAATCAGAAACTTTGTTATTTTTAAACGCAGCGAATTCGCTTAATATATTTTTTGGCTTCTGAAAATAATATGAACAAGGCTCTGTATTTTAAATAGCTAAAAATTAGCTGTTTTTACCGCCATCATTTGTTTGTTCTGCTGCACTGACATCGCTAGGTGACGAACGCAGCTGATGAGTGGAAAGACATCGATAACCGATAACATTTCACTGCCAGCAAATTTTTTGGGGCCAAGTGGAAAATACGTGTAATATTTACAATAAGCGAACAACCAAGCAGATAGTTCAACCAATTTCCAAATGGAGACACCCACGGCTGACGATCTGCTGCAGTTCCGCGACTATAGCGGCGGTGCCCCGGCCCAAATCAATGTTAATTCGCCGACGCACAGTGGTTCTGGTGGTTCCGGCGGTGGTGCCAACGCACAGCGTCAACGCGGCGATCCACTACAGGATTTGATCTACGACATGACCACCTCGGCCCAAGGACTCTCCGGTGGCGGCTCCTCCGGCGGATCCCAGCCGCAGAACTCCCCACTGGACGGATCCGGCGGTGGTGCAGGCGGTGGTGCGCGAATCTCCTTCCTCACCATCGAGTATTACCAGCAGTTCTTCAATGTGGACACCTATATGGTCCTCGAGCGGATCGCCAATTCCATGATCCCCAAACGGGCCGCAGGCAACTATCTGCGCATGAACATCGGCGAGAATCCGGATCTCTATGGTCCCTTCTGGATCACCGTCACCCTGGTTGGTAGCTCAGATTTATTAGGTGGGGATTTCTAAATAGTAAACTGGGTTTTCAAAAAGACAAGCCACTTAGAAAGGCGGATTTCATAGTATTATATGTTCATTAATTAATATCAATGTGCAAAGCCACTATAAAAGCAACTTGAGAGTTAAAGATCTGATAGATTTTTAAAATGTGAGTTTTGTTAAAAGAATGTGATTCCTTAACAAATTAAAAGCGGTTTTAAGCATATTTTCTATATTAAGATAGAGGAAAACCGTTGGTGAAGAGTGTGTTGGCGATTTTGAATAAATTTAAAGTAATTTTAAGAAGTAAGGAGTAAAGCTGCTTAAAAGAAAATTATTTTGTAGATGTTTTGTTGAACAAGAATTTATTTTAGAGTACTGCTTAATGTTCAGACAAAGAATAGATTAGGAAAATGTTGATTTTGGATCGTTTTTATAGACTTCAGAATTCGGATTTCTCATTTAGTATTTTGCCTGATTTTTGCTCAAAAGGTGTAAAACCCCATCTGATGATTTGTCTTCAATAAGCTTATTTGAGATTATTTTGAAGAGTTATTAATTGATTGTTAGTTGACCTATTTTATTGCCTTATTGTACTGAAGTGCGGGATTATTAGTTAGTGATTGGCTCTAACGTTTACATTGATCTTATATTAAAGTCTTATCTATGTTTTCTTTTCAGATTTTCTCAATAGCAATTAGTGGCAACATAGCTAGCTACTTGCACCATGCCAGCGATGGCTACCTCTGGCACTACAATTTCCACCTGGTCTCTTACGCGGCCACCTGTATCTTCTTGTACGCCAACATCTTGCCAGCCGTTCTGTGGGCCTTGTTCAAGTACAGCCTAAAGCCCGTGGATGCGGCGGATACCATCGAAACGGATAGCGTAAGCATGAGCTTCTTCATCCATTTATCTATCTCGCTCACATTCACGTTTATTGCAGGCCACCTACACCCCGAGTCTTCTGTCGCTGATGTGCATCTACGGATACAGCCTGGCCATCTATATTCCCGTCTCCATTCTCTGGGTGATCAATGTAAGGAGTTTTTTGCTTAGATTTATATTTTAATATGGGTAATATCTATCTAGACTTGAACTTTTGCTGCTGGTTATACTTTCCGAAAGGATTTGAGATTTTCTCGGTAGAGTTGTGTTTCCGATTACAGTTCCAGTAGTAAGGACTGCATTTTTAATTTAATTTAGAGTAGTATAATTTAGGTTTTTTTAAAGACATTTTAAAATATTTGTTTTTAAAAATGTTGAGGTTGGGAAACTATATCTATACTGTTCATTTTGATGCAATGTAAGAGAGGGAGGAAATGTTTATCTCCAATGCAGTGCTTATGAGTTCGTAAAACTAAAATAATTTTTAAGACTTTAAATTATATGTGGGTATATGTTCGGAAAAACCAAATGTCTTTCATTTGGGAATTAAAAGTTTTCAAAAATTCAATGTAAGATTAGATAAAACTGAATATTAGGTTAGTTTGTTGTACAATCAGTAAGTTTCAATAGTTTATTGTCTAAATGTACTTTCTGTTTGACACACCAAATTCTTAAAATTATCAATTGCTATCTACGGCTTTTTAATACCTCTTTATCCCTTGCAGGTATCGCTGCTACAGTGGATCTTGGTGATCACCGCTGCCTTGCTTTCGGGCACTGTTTTGATTGCCGTTCTGACGCCTGCCTTGCGGAACTCGAAGTTCTCGCTGTTCCTGATCATTGGTATCCTGAGTGCCCATGTGGTGCTGGCCGCCGGATTTCTGCTCTACTTCTTTCACAGTCCCCCAGATGCGAAGCTGGCTGCAATTACTCCGACACCAGCTGCACCTGCTCCTCCGGCTGCCCTGAAGGCGGTGACCCAAGCGATCCTTACCGGGGGTAACGGCAACCAGTCCCACTAGATAACATTCCGCGGAAGCCAGTGCGTCACCATCGCTGACATTTGTTGTACATTAAGTTGTCCTTATTATAATATATTCGTAAGAGGGCCATGCTTGATCACAGAAGGTCCAGGATAAATCCAATGTATAATCCTTTGCCAAATCTGATTCAAAGCAGCCCGCATCTTGTGCTTTGTATTAACTTTCTATAACATTTGGCGAATGTATATTTATATTAAATTAGTGGTAGAAATACGTGTAATACCAAAAAAAAAAAGGAAATCGCTAGAACTTTTCGCTGGGGTAGTAAAAATTAAACAATTTTGTCGAAAATTCAAGAAAGACGAAGAAAATGTTAGTCATGCCATCATTAAAAATTGTAAATATAATACAATGTACTGAAATTTAGTTTTATTTTATTAAACTTGAAGGTTTTTTGGTAATCCTTTAAATATCTGGTAAAAATTTGCTAAACATCACAAGGTAAATAATTAGTGTTAAGGTATATATTTTGAAATTTATATACCTTTTCCCGGTAAATGGTAATTGGTATAACTTGGGTAACATAAATTATATATGCCACATTACCGTCCATATGGAGAAAGGTCCTTTGAGAGGATGGAATGCAAAAGAAGAGGGGGAGTGCGACGGAGATGGTTTTTGTCTTTCTTTTTATGTTGAACTGGGTTTTGGCCAGTTCTTTTGGTGAAAAGTCTCATCACATACACATCTACACATATATACAGTATTAAAGAATTTGGGCGGCTTTTCATCCTTTTTTCTGCCATTGTTCATGTTTCGGGATTTTTACTTTTGGTAATTTTCATGCGCTTGGCGTATTTATTGCAGTAATGTGGAAATTACACGTTGCGAACGAGTCCAAACACAGGGTGAATTTTTCCACCAAAACTTTCTTTTACTCTTTTAATTCGCTTTGGAATTTTTGATTCATTATATGAAAATACAAAAATACAAATCACCCATATTAAAGAGACCCTAAATATTGCATATTTTCAAAAAATAAATATAATAAATATTTTCAATGGTTTTACAAGTTTCAGTTCGTTACAGAAATGAATGGCTTGGGAGCATTTTTTGTATATTATTTGTTGGCTAGTTTAATTAAGGGAGGATTTTATAATTCATATTAATCCCTTTATCTAACAAATTGCATTTATATTTGATATATTACTATTTAAAATAATAATAAAACTGTTTTAAATAAGTTTGAAGATTAAAATGTTATAAATATTGAATTGAATTTATTAAATTAAAGCCTCATCAGTTAGATATTCATTTTTTTTTGGTAATTTAATGTAGGATGAGCTTAAGTCACCCCTTATACAATTTTGTATGTAATTCACGTACATAGGACTCTTTTACACAGATACTCGCCATGTGTGGGTGCCAAAGTCGTTGTGCATGTGTGCGTGAGTCTGCTTGTGTGGACATGTATATGTATTCAGCTGGCTTGCACCCACGCACATTTATAGAGAGAACATTTCTCAATTTCAAATGCAAATATACGCATAACGCATCGTTAGATTTGTCGTTTTATTTATTTTTTATGCAAGTGAGATGGTTATATGTCGCTCATCTCCTTCACACCTTTTGCTGATTTCTCTCTGCAAAAACCAAACCTATTTACCTACAGGGACAAATACATAGATACGCGGTGAATATTGTGAGCCACGGGGCGTATACTTAATGTCAGCAGCAGGACTTTCACGTTTTTCAGTGTTTTTCGGTGGTAAAATAAAATGTTATGCCCATTATGACGTACGAACAGTGAAATGCAATTTGTTTATTTAAATATTTTGTAATAAATCGATTTATATTGTTAAATTTATATTTAAATTAAATATTATAAAAATTATCTTTAATATTATATTAAATATCAGAGCAAACAAATTTGACTTATTTTGTGCGTTTTTACTTATTTTTAATAAGTAAGAATTATAGTAATAATCATATTAATTAGTATATATACATACATAAATGTTTACTATAATTATACAAAAATTCAAGATTTAGATTTGGATTTTTTTTGTCTTAAACTTTTTTTTTTAATTTTTATATAATCTATTTTTCCAAAGAGCGAACGGCCCCACATTAATTTCACGCAGTTTCTGTACGTCGAAACGCATAAATATCTGGCTAAAATGTTATATATGGCCAATGATTCGATCGATTTGTGGTGGCATATAGATTAACTGATTTGCCATTCAGCTGATTAGCATTCGAGTGGGTGGATGAGAGCGTCGGAAACGGAAGTCACTCGATGGCTGTTAAAAGTTTTTCCTCGCTCCTTTCGGTCTCCGTCTTTTATTCCTTTTATTTATCCGATGGCATTTTTGGAAGGAGGAGTGGAATTAGCTGATGTGCAGCGACTTGTGTGATTCCTTTTTTGTTGCCTCTTGAAGCAATTACGCCATCCCTTCAGATTCCATCCCTACTACTCTTTACCTCCTCATTTCATAAAAATATGTGCACTAAGAAAAATCTTAATATATTTTATTTGTATATTTTATGGAATATTTCCCTTAACAGATTTTTTCAAGAATCTTTTAAAAGGTTTTATTAAGGGTCTTATTAGTTATTGGATTGCTCAAACATTTCTTTCTTAACTTTTTATGTTCCACAAAATCAAAAATTTCTTTTTTCCAGACTGTAATTAATCATAAAGAAAAGTGCTTGCTTTCGTCTTAATATTGTACTTAGTATATAAAACCAGAAATCTAATTATAAAATTATTATTTTTATGTTTATTATTTTGTAAAACTTGATAAATAATACTAAAGTATATGTTTCTGTTTTTCTATTTTTAATTTTACATCAAAATAATATTAATAAATTTCATTGCCTTGCCATTAATCTTAGTAATTATTTAATCCTCCATTAAAAATCATATATTTAACAAAAATAAATTTTGCCACTATATGTTTTATAGAATCTCCAAGCTTTTTAATTTATATCTGTGTACACTTATTTCGGTACAAGTGTGTGTGTGAGTGACTTAACCCCTTTCAGCCGCCCTCGTAATGCATTTGAAGCGTTAAAACGCCACTTGAGTGAGGATGTTTGGTACCCGGCAAAGGAGCTGCACACTGGATGGACTTGGGGGCGAAAGGGGTTAAGGGTTGTGGGTTAAGGGGAAGGGGAAGGGGCAGGGGAAGGGGGATGGCAGAAGTGCATATGCTAATTGGTAAGTGCACGGCTCAACGAGCACCTGTTGAAATCAGCATCTTTCTCCTTCCGAATCAGATACCGACTTGAAGAGCTGCACATATGTACACTCCCCCCATTTGGGTGACTTGGTTCTGCAAAAACATCTTTAATGGTCTGTTCAAATTTGTATAATGTTTCCATTAAGAAAACTAAATATGTTTTTACTAATTCTATCCTTGATCCTTGGAACTAAATATTTAATTTTTCTGGTATGCTTTTATCTCAGTGGCACCTCTTTTGTAATTAATTAAAATCTTCATAAAAGGACATATATCGAAAAGGATTTTATTGAAAACTTATCGTGAATAAATGTAATTTTGTTAATTATAAAGTGATGTTAAACAAAATGTAATAAATTAATGCCTTTTTGAATTATTCTATATCCTTCACTAAGTTGAAAACTTTTGACTGAAATTTAATATCAATTTACCACCAATAATTTAAAATGCATTCGACTTGCATTTATTTTATTTTCTAATTGAATTAAGAACAAAGAAATACTACTTGCTGAATGGTTAAGTTCCACGTAATTTTTTGGTAAGCCGATAATAGGCATAAATGAAATATGAGTATTGATTTGTTTTCTTTGCGTTCGACTTAAAGGAGCTTAGTGTGTGGTGGGAGCCTTGAAGAACAGGGGATTGGTTAAATAGTTTATTTTTGGGATCCTTGTTACGGGCTTTTATTGGGTTAATTCTGCAATCCTTTTCCCCCTGTTTTCGCCTGCGTGACTGCTCGTCCTTATTTCCATTTATTTTGTGAATATCCTGGGGCCTCACCACCACACGTAGCTCAGCAGGATGTGCTGTGCCACGCCTCCCCATCCTTTCCGCCCCCTTGCACTCAATTAAGTGGCTGTGTGTGGGTGTGTGCGGGTGTGTGCGGGTGTGTGCGGGTGTGTGTGAGTGTGTGTGTGGGCGAGGAGTCCTATGTTGACTTGAGAACTTGGCACAACTTTTGCGTACGAGTTGGACGACTACGTGACAAAGGTTGCAAGTGCCCCTCACTGCCCCATAAACCCACCCACACCACCACCCACACCCACCCCCTTGTTTACCCTCGAATGCCCCCTATTTACCAGGCGACACACCCCGAAAAATAGTAGATATTAATTTTTCAAAGACCCTCTGTTTGTGGTTCTCGAAACTTGTTTTGGGTAAATATTTTCTTTTTTTGGAAAATTTTATTTCAGAAAGTGACAGCCTTATTTAAATAATATTTTCGAAATACTACCAATATTGTCAACATGATTAAGTCTATTAAATAATGTTCTAAAAAAGGCTTTCAGTGCTAAGAAAATATTACTTTGCTTGGAATAACTTTTAATTTGAAGATTAAACATTAGAACAAGAATAAAGGCAAGCCGAAAATGCGTTCTTTAAAATTATGTATGCTATCTGGAATAGTATTAAAATCCGATGCCAAATATTGTTCAAATTATCCATATTTTTTTGACTGTCTTAAATAGCAGTGTAGATTTTTAAAATATTTTCTTTTTTTTTCTTTAGTTGGTGGTTTTTACATTAGTTAAGATGAATCTGAATACTGGAAATCAAATGATATGATTAAAACATTTTATTGCTTAAAAACCGCCTTCAAAAATATTGTCAAAAAATATTTTAAACGTGTACAATGGACTATTGCAATTAAATGTTTCAAAAATATAAATGACTCAATAATATATTTCTAAATAAATGATGTTGGTTCTTCAAATTACAACGAGATAATTTGGAAACCTTATTTGGCTTGGCTTTAAATCAGCCTTCTTAAAGTCAACCTCTGCGGATGTCACCATCCCCATCTCCATCTGCATCTCCATCTGTATCGCCATCAGCATCTCCAACTGCCCATCTGTATCTATATATCTATGTCTATATCTCCGGGTGAGTGTACGTGAGCAAAGTACGGACAATCTGCCGGCCGGCCGGTTCGCGTGCTTTTGGGGCGTGTTTGGCGTCCAGTTTGACACAATTTCGAATGCCGCCGCCCATATGCAGAAACTGCTCCATTTTCCATCGGTGCTCGCGGAAATGTCTACACGGCCCGGAAAATTCTCCATCGGGACAGCGCCCCTACGAGAGCTTTTCCGGCACCAAAAGCGAGGAGCTTTCTTCGCACATCCTTCGTCCTAGAATACAGGATATCTCATCCCAGCTATGTATACAGTTCGGGATTTGGCTTAGATAATCACTGGGATTTGCCGACCGAGAAGTGGAGTGAGGTTGCACACATAATTTCATTATTTATTTTAATTAATTGAAATTGTTGAAAAGCCGGCGGCCCCCTGATGACCCTAATGCTAAGTAAGCTCACTAATTGCAATTGACTTCAAGGGAGTCCTCAACTTTAAGTGGAGTAATAGAAGGGGATAGTCTGAGGATGCAACTTGTGTTAATATTTTCAGAGCCAAGTACTTCGTAGTTTGGCAATTTACAAGTATAAATATTCATTTCAGAAGGCAGTTTATTACCATAGCAGATACTATCTAAAGTGTTAATGCCTGATATTTATTTTATATATATTTTTGAGTAGCTGTGTACTTTATTTTGAGTTTATTAAAAAGGTTTATATTTAATTTTATTTTAATTGGCTGAAAAATTATTTATTATTTACTTTTTGAAACGATTATTTCAAAGGGCTTGATTGTTTATTGAAGTATTTCAAAGAGTGTGCTTCATAAAACTTTTAAATTATACACTTTTTAATTCAAAGAGTTAAAAAAAGTTATGAGTGGGAACAAAAAGTATAGTTTTGTAAATAATTATAAAATTATTATTGAGTAATTAATTGTAATAGAGGAACTAAAGGTTTTTAAATCTTAGCAAAACAAGAAAAACTTTATTCTGAAAGCAAAAAAAAAGTTTCAATTAGCTAAAATACAATTTTGAGTTCTTAATAATTAATTCCACTTTTATGCTTACCTAAGGTCAACATATTCTATTTGTATTGCAACTTTTTGGGGCAAGACTGTCAAAATGCAGTACATTAAAAATTAATTTCAGAATATTAATATTTAATCAGCTCCTATTTGGGCAAATTGAGTCCTTAGTTGAACATGAATTGCATTGCAAATATTCGCTCTGTCACCGTCTCTTTCTGCCTCTATCTAGCCGTCTCTTTCTCTCTCTCTCTCTTGGATGCCCGTATCCTGTTTGCCGGCAGCTAAGACACAGTCTTTCAATTAATTCCAAATGCGAATGCACCGAAGCTCAATGCAAACATTTGCACAATTTCAAATCGCTTTTGCCGTTGCTATTTATTTTCCACCCACTGTTTTCCACCCACTTTTTATTTCTTCTCCTCTCAATTGCTTCCTGCTTTTTTTACACAAAAAAATATATTTTCTGAACCGTTTTTTTTCGTAAACTAAATTTGCTGTTTGGGAAATATTTATAAATCGGCTAGTTGTATAGATAATTAAAATACATATTTATATTGTCATGTCAAATTTAGCTTCCGTTCTTGCCAATTTAATTTTAGTCTTAGATCAAATTTTTGAACGTTTTCGATATTTTTACAATTGAAAACTTTATTTCTCAATTTAAAATATATGACTGTCGAACTTTTTTTAATTTCGATATTTAACTCATTGAAATATTTTCGATATAAAATTAATAGTGATTCGTTTGCGATTTAATGTTGCAATTTAACTGAACCTAGCCAAATTTTCAATTTACACCACATCGACTGTTTTGGTTATTTAAATTTTTAATATTTTGAAAATGTCTCGATAAATTAGTTAAAAAATATATCTTGTTATTTTTTAACTGAAAGGAAAACTATATTTTCCAAGTGTGCCATCCTGTTGTTTTCGGGAGTTGCGAGCAGCTGAAATTACACAGATTACATAGGATATAGACGACGAGCAGTTGGCACACATTCTAAGGCAGCACCTCGTTACCACGCCCCCGTTGTCGAGGAAAATGCATTTTCAAATTATTTAGAAGCCGCGTTTTGGAGAGAATTTTCCGCTGGCCTGGAGAGTTGGAGCCGGGAAAATCGGATGGCGGGGGGCAAGCTGAGGGGCTGGAAAAGCTATAGCAAAAGCTCTGCTCCTGTTCGAATCGTAGGTGCTGTGTTTTTGCCGTGAAAAGTCTCAACACAGGATTCGTTGGCGTCGCTGCCGGCGTCGCAGTCGCTGCGGAAAATCGCCTCTCTCTCTCTCATTTCGTGGGAAAATTCAGTACGAGTCAAGCAGTCCTCGGCGCATCCAGCAAACGCGGTTCTTTTTTAAGCGCGTTTTCGTATTATTCTACTCATATGATTTATCATTTGCGTCGCTATATGATTTCTCCTTGTTTCCGTAGTACGACAAAAAGCCACTACTACTAAAAAAAAACAACAACCAATAAAAATTATTAGGCAAAAGTTTCAAGATCGCAGCAGGTGAAGGCGGAGGAGCACTAAACAAACTTGCTGGGCAAAGAGAGAAATATTCCTGGGGAATACCGGCCTTCAAGGACCGCCGCTGTCCTTCCTGTCAGTCAGTCAGTCAGTCAGTCAGTACGTCCCCATAACTTTTTTATATCTTTTTGTATATGTGTGTGTGAGTGTAAGAGTGAGATCGGCGATCGAAAATATATATGCCACATTAAGATCACATTCAGTAACTCCTTCTGATACCTTTGATAAGCTCAAGCCAAGGCTAAGAATTGAAGCTCAAGTTAGTTTATATTAAAAGAAAGGTATAGAAAACTTAATTAAATGTCGATCAAGGAAAAGTGAGTAAATAATCTTAAAAACGGCTCAAATTTTAATTTATATATAATTTACTTAGAAAGCCGTTGATAAAATTAAATATGATTTTTTTTTCATATTATAAGAAAGATCTTTTATTTTTGGAGACTAACTATATATTTTTTGAAAATTATTAAGACTCAATATTTGTTATAATAACATTTGATATAATTTCCTTGATATACAGTAAAAAATATATATAAGAAATCAAAAATTATTAATAATATCTTTGTTCTTTAATAAAATAAAATAATTATTTAAATTTATATTTCCTTAAAAACTACTTTATTTATGTTTTGTTTGGCTTATTTTTATTGATTGTTTATATGTAATGTTGAAATTGGTATTATTACATTGAAACTGTCACCAGATACTGATATTTATTTGGGCTGTTGTAAGCTTATAATTCAAGGAAAAGTTCCTGATACTTTTTTCAGTGTATCTATTTTGTATGTACGTGTGGAAAGGGTGTGGCATCGACCTAATTACCTGTAGCCAATTTTCAGATACTTAAAAATTGCCTGCACTTGTCTTAAACATATTTTAATCCTTTTATCCCTTCCACTTTCATTGCAGCCAATTCAGAGCGTAATAACACAAAAGTCTGCTGGCAGCAATCAACTCTAAGCCAAATTAACAAAAATCTGAAAACAAATCGTTAATAAAAGAAATTGCATACAACTATCATCAAACTTTCCAATGTTTAATTTTTGTGTTGTTGACTGATACAAAGATAAAAGACCAAATTTGTTAGGGGAAACAATTCTCCCACACAACAAAGCATATTATAATCATAATAAACAAGTATAATGTAATTCATTTTTATTCAAACATAAATTTGTTTTGAGTAAATGTGCGCTAGCTAGAATCATATATATATATATATATAGTCGGATAACATTTGATTACCTTCGTCGGTGAGTGTCTAGCCAATCAATCTACAGCCTATAGGAACCATATATACCACAAGGTTTTATACTGAATTTATAGAATTTTGGGTAAGGGCGCAGTGCGCATCGAAAGGCCCCATCAAAACATCAACACCAAACTCAATATTAACTAACAAAAATACCATAAGCAAGTGTTTTTTTGTCGCAAATAAATAAATTTACATATTTACACAAAAAAAGAAAGAAGTTAAACAAAAGTAATATTTAAATAAAGACTTGAATTTCTCAAAGAAATAAATATTTATACAAGGACAAGCGAAGAATAAGAACTAAAAGAAAAAACGGACTTCCAACGATTTCAAAATACGACGAAATATTTTTAGAGCAAAGACCCTGCAACAAAGTATGATAACAAAAACTATGCAAATCGGTTAACAAAATATTTGCCAAATCTATGAATCAAAAAGTAACAAACAAAACGCAAACTTAATGAGAAATCCAATGTCGAGCTACAAGAATTTATACTAAAAACAGAGGAAGGAAGAAATTAGAGAGAAGAAAAAGTGCAAAAGCAGATTTAGTGGAAAAGCGTGAGGAAAACCGAGATCAACAGAGATCAGCTGTTAAGTGATATTTTATAAAAACCGAAAATATCAGTTAAGGACAACGACTTATAAGGTGAGTTTTCATAAATTACCATCGATGTATTGAAATCCAGATTTACTATATATCCTGATTTTAATCTAGAGACTTATGTGCTACCGCAAAACATTTATTTTTAATTTAATTCCCAGTTATTTAAATATAGGTATGTTTAGTTTCTTATAAATATATACATCAAATATATAAAATATAGTTGGTAAAATCGAAATCCTTTGAGAATTATTCTAGTTTAATTCTAGTTTAAAAATTTGCACTGCCTTTTCGACTTTAAAATATTTTGAAATTTGAACCTACAAGTTGTTAGTATAATGTTAAAATGAAACCTAATGCTTGTGAAAGCTAATTGAAAAAGTAATTGGCGTTATTATCCAATTTTCGTTTGTAACAATGACCAAAAAATAATTGAAATTGCGAAAATTTTTAATTGCAATTTCCCCCATTTTGTGGTCGTCCGTCGTCCGTCTATCGCCATTCCACTCGCACGCATCGCTGTTTACACTTGAGCTCTTCGACAAGCAATTTGTGCATTAATTGTGTTCGCTGATTGCATTGTTGTTTCATTGATGATGGTTGCCCCCCCGACCCCTCGACCCCACTCACTCAATCAATCATTGCCTCTCCCTCGCACTGTGCTGCCTGGATTGCATTCACACAGATACACACACACACACACATCCCCGGCTGACAATCACATAATGGCCGGGCCGCCATTTTCCCACTCACAGATTTCACTGCAATTTTATCGATTTTTAAATTGGCACAAATTAATCGAGAAAATTGCATTTGTGCAGTCACGATGGGCAGACACGTTGGACAATTGCATATGCAATGAGGCATTTTTGTCGATGTTAACCCATTATGAATATGATGGAAATGAATCTATTGTTTTTCTTCTCAATAACCATGTTACTCGTCGTTAACGAGTTTTTTTTTTCATGCCTTCCCCCTTCTTACAATAATTTTGGTCAACAAACTTTCTACACCCAAAAATCAAAATAACCAACATAAAGTTTCCAAAATAATCTTAAAGACAAGGTTTTTTTGTTTGTTGTTCGTAAAAGATATCAATCCTAAATGTTTAGTCATACGAACAATATTTTAGGACATTTTGTTTGTTTTTCCGTTTAATAGTCTTATCCTGCTCTCATTAATGAATTGTTCTTAATACACATTTTCTTTAGATTTTAAATACAATTTTTAAATTTTTAAATATTAATTTGGACAAATCATGTATTATGGAATCTTCTTATTTTTTCTGTATTTATTTTATACTAACATCATAAAATAAGAAGCATGCATTTTATAATTTGCGCAAAAAAAAAACTAATAAAATAACTTAATTTTTATACATACTATATAAATAAATGATTGATATTTAAATAACTTATTTGTAACACAAAAAAAGTGTTAGTACTTTCAATAATTTTTAATTATTAACGTGATATGCTAAAGCAGTCATTATTAAGTTAATGCAAAGGGGATTATCTAAATTATTCATCGTTATAATATAAATTGTGAAATAATTTTGCTGACTCAGGAATTGCAAATAGTGGCGGTGGGGATTTTAAAATGACATTTATCGTAACTTTTGCGCAAAAAAGAAGGACTGGCGTCAAACTTCCCTTTCCACGTAAATAATAATCAATTATTTAAATGCATTTTTTGCTAAAAAGTTCACAGTTTGTTGACATAAGAGATACAAATTGAGGGGAGGTCGAAACATGGCATTGCGATGACATTAAATTAAAATAAACCGGGTGTTGTGATGGGTTGATAGGAGCTGGATTATTTCGCAAACGGCAACTGGCCATGCATATATTGCAGCATCTCTATTTCATACGTTAATATAATTGAAAATGCAGGCTCTATCTCTCTCTGTCTGTCTCTCTGTCTGTGTTCAACGTCCTGCGAGTGGCATATAGCATTTAATATATGTATGGCATATAGAACATGTAAATGCTGGCACAACTTTGGCCGAGCGCCTGCAGTTTTCTTGTCCATCCACCCTCGACCAAATGGAACTGGCCATGAGCCACCACCAGTGGCTGGGCACCACCAAGCCATCACCACTCCCCTCTCCCCATTCCCCACCAGCATCATCCATCCCCACCGACCAAGCCAAGTTCAGCCACCCACCGCCGGATATCTCTCAGCTGACTGACTCCAACAGATGAAATCAGCTTTAAGATAAGTTCCCTGATTTGTGTAGAGACTCTTGATAAAATACTCTTAAAACCTAAGAAGGCAAAATCGGATGAATTACCCGAATATAATAGCAATTTAATATAAAACCCTTTAAGATTGTACAAAACAAAACAGCCAGTAAAAATACAATAGCTTGAGGTATAAAGAAATGTATTTAAGATTTAAAGGCTATGATTATTTTATTCTAGAAATTTAACAACATAATTTAAATTTCTGCAAACTTATCCTTTATATATTTATCCTTTATATATTTTCTCTATTAAGTATACCTAAAAAATTCTTTGATTACATAAGAAACAACTTAGTCTATACTTTTATTTATATTGGTATATAAAATTTGATTTAATTTATTAAAATGTTTTTATAAAGTGTATAATTTATTTTGTAGCAGTCTTAAAAATATTTCTTTGCTTCCTTATTTTTATTTTTTGTATTATCAGACGTATTTTTAGTCTACTGCAACTGCATATATAGTTTTATAGACACATTTGCAGCACAACAGATTCTCTTTCTCGTCTGAAATTGAATTTCCTCTTTCTACTCTTGTTATTCCATAGTAAAATAGAGAGAAATTCCATTTAACGCTCGCTTTTCTTGGGGAAAAATCTTGAGATGAGTTTTCATTTTCCTTTTCCATCTGGTGTGCTCTATTCTTTGTCCGTTTTCTTTTGCGGATTCTGTAAATTAAAACGCGTTGCCACGCCCACACAATCGCGCCCACCGCCCACCGCCCACCGCCTTGCATTGAAGTAAAGTGAAATTCTATTAGAAGTTTTCCGTCGAACAAAAACGCGTCGACGTCCAAGAATATTAAGGCTTTCAGCGGGAGAAATTCAATTTCCAAAGAGTTATTTTCCTGTTTTCTTCGCATCCGCCGAACCCCTTTTTCACTTTGTGTTTTTCCTCATTCTTTTTCTGATTTTCTACGTTGTTTTTCTTTTTGGCTTTCTGCGTTCCTGTTTGCGAATTTTCTTGAGCTTCTTAAGGACTTATTGTTGAGTTCTTTTGTCAATTAAGTTTTGTATGCAATTCCCGGACGAAGGCAAATTGCAATTCGTCCGTGGAGCAATGCTTTTTCGAATCTAATTGCGTCTCATTAGTTGTCGTTTCCATTAATACCGCTTTGTCCAGTTTTGAATGGAAATTTTACTGAATGATCGCCTAATTTTCAAAGGCATTTCATAATTAAGTTGTGTGTGGATAATTTGATGAGGCCAACGCGTCGTATGGGCAATGTTCGTCGATTGCATTTAATTTAATGGGCCTTTTGATCGAGTCAAAAGCAATGTGGAAATTAAAGGAAAATTCCGTGAAGTGTGTTGGGGAAAATGGCTGGCCCTTTCGGATATGGTATTTTGCCAAATTGGGCTCTTCCCTTTGAAGTTTCGAGCCGGAAACGGCAATCGGCAATAGCCAGCGGAAACAAAATCAATATGACGCATGCGCTGCGTTTTCACCGCTTTTCAACTCCCACTTTTCCAAGCGGGGTAAAAGCAGCGGGAAAAGTGCCAGGAAAAGTCAGAGAAAAGCGAAATGCAGCTGTGGTAAATGGCACAGATTACACACAGCTGGCAAGGCGATGCAGGCGGAAAATGATTAATTTTCGCGGACATATTGGTTGGAAAAGGGGGTGAAATCAATTTCCGAAACATGTTCACATGGGAAAATCATTACTGGAAGGTGTAATTTAAGATGTATCAAAGAGTAGTGTGCGATTATGTTCTAGTAAATTCTAAGTAACTTAAATGGTATAATAAAGCAGAGGAGAATAAACTTTATTGTATTTAATACCACGCAGATAGTTTAAATTAAAGAGCTTACGAAATTAGTTACAAACTAGAAGTATTTAAGTCTGGGACTAAAAACGAAGTAAAATAAATTTAAGTGACAATAACTTTAGTTAATAGATTTATTTAGTCAAAAACTTCTGGCTATGTGAAAATTTGTAAAGTTTTAACAGGCAACGAGTGGTTTAATTTTTGAAATTAAGTTTTACATTTTTAAACTTTTAGTACTTTAACAAGTTTATTAGTCTGCAATTCGTAAAGGCAAATTTCATTTACTTATTAAGAGAAACTTTTCGAGACTCTAAAGCTGCTGAACAACTAAAGTACTTCAGAGATGTTTTACCAAAGGCATTATCCCCAAAACAGAAAATACTTATTCAATCCTTGGTTGACATCAAACAAGAGGAATTTTCACATCACAGAAAACCGGAGTCTGCAAATGAAATTGAGAAGTTTTTGTGAATGCCTCATGCCCAAAAAAGTATGCAAGGGGATAAAAGTTTATTTGCCAGCCGTTTTTGCTTTTCTTTAATTAATGCAATTGAAGTGCACTTCGGAAAATCGTGCTTTCCACCACCGAACCACCGTCACCAACATAGCAACCACCGCGAAAAAAAACACCGCTGGCCAGTTAATACACAGAAAAAAATGTTGGTATTTCGATCGATTCGATATTTGCATATCAAATAATTATTTAAAATATCAAACAAATATTAATTTAATTAGAGTAAATATCCTGAGTAAATTTATATATTTTAGAGCTATTTATTGTGCTTAATACTGAACATTATCCCCAATTTTTGTCTGTGCAGCTGTTGGCTAGCTAAAAAACAGAGTGCACTGAACCACCACCAGAGAGCCGAAAAAAGTTGCTAAAAAACAAACCGACCACATGGAATCCATAAACAAATATTTCAATTGCCGCTAAGCTTTGAGCGCTTGAGCGATGAGTTATACACAGGAAAAAATTTTTTACTTTCTCAGAAAGTTATAAAATCTAAAATTATAATTCGAATTAAACGG